GGAATGGGGAGGCGGAGGGAGTAGTGCATGGAGTGGGGAGGACTCCAGAGGAGTGGGGAGGAACGCCGAAAAGCAAGATGGAGGGAGTTTCGAGGAGTGGGGAGTGATGCGGAGGAGCACGGTGAAGTGCGGAAAGGTACAGAGGAGCGGGGGGGAGTGCGGGGAGGGGGGAGGAGGAATGGAGTGAAGTGCGGAGCAGTGCCGAGGATGGCGATGGAGTGCGGAGGAATGGGAGGCTCTGGAGGGCTCCTCGGAGGCTTCTGGGGGGCTCTATGGAGACCTCTGGGGGACGCTTTCGTGGACTCCTGGGCTTAGCTGCCCCGATACGCAACACGCCACACGGAACGTGGCCAAACACGTAGGCTCAAAACGGGGACCTGGCTGCAAGAGGCCAAGAGAGGCTCTTCGGCCGCTCCAAGAGGCACTTCAGCGGCTCAAAGAGGCTTTTCGGCGGCTCGTTGAGGCTCTTCGGAGAGCCCCAGAGGCTCTTGCGAGAGGCTCTTCCGTGAAGGGAGGGGGTGCGAGGAGGCTCTTTGGAGACCCCCCCTTGACCGTACTCGTTGATTAATACCCTCCGGAGGAACTAACACCCACCGGGGCGCACTAACAACCAACGGGCCACAGTAACACATTATCTCGCAAGACACCCCAGGGCCGGAGGCGGGGGGAGGGAAGGCGGGGTGGTGGTGGAGCAAATCCTGAGCAGAGCCACGTGCACTACGACGACGACGACGACGACGACGACGATCACGACGACGACGACAACGGAGACGAGGCGCGCTTAGGATCCGCGCAGAGCTGCGGACGCGGAAAAGGGTCCACTCTGTGAGCCTCGGTCTTGTGCACGTCGCTGGGCGGCCCTGCTGCTTGGACGCGGGCACCGGCCCACCCCCCAGAGCCGCCAGAGACCCGTCGGGTCTGCACCCTCACGTCTTGCCGAGGCCAGGGGGCGCCTTCGGGCACTCTCTCCCCCAAACCTCGTCCGTGCGACCGACAAGGGCGAGGGCGGCGGTCATTGGCCATTACGGCCCAGAGCGAAGGAACTGCAAACGCCGCGGCTCGGAGAGCGAGGACGACGGACGGACGGCCAGCCAGGCGGCGCGCACTGCCCGGCAAGCCCAGCGGGTGCTCACTGCAGGGAAGGGTCGGCGGCGAGCGACGGGGGGGCAAGCGAGGAGGGGCGGACCCTCTCAGCAGGCCCCGACGCCCCTGGGCCCTCCGAGAAGTGGTCTGCACCCAGGGCGATGCTTAAGAAAACCTAAGTTTTCGTCCAGAGTCTCGATTATTCTTAACTTTTCAATGTAAATCCCAAGATTTTGACAGAAGTTCTGGGCTTTATTCAAGCTCTGAGACTATGAATTTCTTGACCCATGAGTTCTTAAGCATTTCGCAGGGTCTGGGCCTCCCCCGAAGACAGACCACAACACAATGCCCAGGCGGCGCGAGGGCTTCTCAGCAGGGCGCCAGGGCTTCGCGCTGCCCCCCCTCGCCGGCCGCCGGGAAAGGAGGCCGAAGTCCCTGGGCCCTGCGAGAAGTGGTCTGGGCCCTTCCCCGAAGACAGACCACAGCAAAATGCCCCGGCGGCGCGAGGGCTTCTCAGCAGGGCGCCAGGGCTTCGCGCCGTCCCCCCCCCTCGCCGGCCGCCGGGAAAGGAGGCCGAAGTCCCTGGGCCCTGCGAGAAGTGGTCTGGGCCTTCCCCGAAGACAGACCACAGCAGAATGCCCAGGCGGCGCGAGGGCTTCTCAGCAGGGCGCCAGGGCTTCGCGCCGTCCCCCCCCCTCGCCGGCCGCCGGGAAAGGAGGCCGAAGTCCCTGGGCCCTGCGAGAAGTGGTCTGGGCCTTCCCCGAAGACAGACCACAGCAGAATGCCCAGGCGGCGCGAGGGCTTCTCAGCAGGGCGCCAGGGCTTCGCGCCGTCCCCCCCCCTCGCCGGCCGCCGGGAAAGGAGGCCGAAGTCCCTGGGCCCTGCGAGAAGTGGTCTGGGCCTTCCCCGAAGACAGACCGCAGCAAAATGCCCCGGCGGCGCGAGGGCTGCACAGCCATTCGTTAGAGCTCTAGTATTTTTTCCCGTGATATTCGATCTTATTCCCGCTCGCCATCTTGATCTCAGCTCGATCGGGTGAATATTACTATGCCCCGGCGGCGCGAGGGCTTCTCAACAGGGCGCCAGGGCTTCGCGCCGTCCCCCCCCCCCCGCCGGCCGCCGGGGGAGGCAGCGCGTGGCCTGCCGGCGGCCGTCTCGGGCATCGGGGCACGCGGCCCCGATCTGCACGACCTCCTCCTCCTCCTCACCTCCTCCTCCTCCTCCTCCTCCTCCTCCTCCTGCCCCTCCTCCTCCTCCTCCTCTTCCTCCTCCTCCTCCTCCTCCTCCTCCTCCTCCTCCTCCTCCTCCTCCTCCTCCTCCTCCTCCTGCCCTCCTCCTCCTCCTCCTCCTCCTCCCTCCTCCTCCTCCTCCTCCTCCTCCTCCTCCTCCTCCTCCTCCTCCTCCTCCTCCTCCTCCTCCTCCTCCTCCTCCTCCTACCTCCTCCTCCTCCTCCTCCTCCTCCTCCTCCTCCTCCTCTTCCTCCTCCTCCTCCTCCTCTTCCTCCTCCTCCTCCTCCTCTTCTCTGCACGAACGAAATGGGTCCGGAAAGAATGGGTACAACGCCCAACAGCAGTTCCTGTTCATTTTGAGCAGGGCTCGCTGTCCACGCCGCCGCGGCCTGTGTCCTTTCGAGGCAGAAGGCCGCCTGCCCAACAGCGGCCGCTGCTGGTGTGGGACAACATGTGTTGTTGGGCATTGTACCCATTCTTTCCGTACCCATTTCGGGCGCCCAAGCCCGAGGTGCCGCAGTGGCAAGTGGGCCACGCTCGGGTATAGCCAGGACCCCAGGTGAGGGGACCGGGTTAGTGTCGGGGGAGCGTAAGACCCGGGTTTGCCAGGGCTCGGGTTCGCCATCGTTTTTTGACGACCGCGACTCGGATTTTGACGAGGAGGAGTTTTGTGGGATGTCTGCAGCGGGAGGCCTCGTCAAAATGCAGGCTCGGCCTCGTCATTTTTTTGACGACCTCATCGGGGATTTCCGAGTCCCCCGTACCCGGGTCTTACGTCTCCCGGATAGTGGTAGGGTCCGGGGGGCCCGAAATCTGCCAGAATCACTGAACCAGGTCTGCCGCAGCTGGTGTTTTTTTCGGGCGACGGCAGTTCCGATTGGTGGACCGGGGCGGGGGGGGCATCCCCCAGTACACATCACGAAACCAGGTCCCACTAAACCCAGTTCTGCCAACGCCCGAAAGTGAGCCACGCAGAGGGCCGGGCACGCCGCGCTTGCAGCAGGCATTCCTTGCGACCGCGCCCAGCATTGCGTCGGACCTGTCCCTTTGCAGGGGGAATGTTCAAAAATAGTCAAAAAATAGTCTGGTGACGATTTTTCGACTGTTTCTGAGCATGTTTTGAAGATTTGTTGATTATTTTTTATTTTTCATCCAAAATCCCCCTGTAGGGGGACAGGCCCGACCTAAGCCCAGCAGCATGGCACGCTCACTTTGTCCTTTAGCGTCGACTAGCGTCTGGGAGTCGATGAGATAGCGCCGATTCAGCGTCGGCTAGCGTCGATTAGCGTTAAGTCGGGCCTGTCGCTCTACAGGAGGAAAATTCAAAAATAGTCAGAAAAATAGTATGGGGATTATTTTTGATTAATGTTTCATGATCTTAGGGGTATTGCTTGACTATTTCTGATTTTCCGCCCAAGATTCCCATGTAGGAGAACATACCCGACCGAAGATTAGCGTCGATGTAGCGTCGATTTAGCCGACAAGATGTTACGGGAGGCTCCCATGAGTGGCCACCGAGACCTGTGCCACCCAGGTGGCCTAGGCGTTGCGCGAAGTTGGGTGACCGAAGTCAGGTGACCTACTACCCTTGTCAAAATTGATTTTCAAAAATGGCGAGCACGCCCCTGCGTTGTCGGCGCGCCCTTCAATGTCGATAGATGCCCCTCCAATGTCGGGGCCAGGGCAAAGGTGGTCTGACCGGGAACGACTCGGAAGTTCGATGATGACCGACATTAGAGGGGCGGCGCATACAAGTATTTCGCAGTCATCGCTTCTCTGTCCAGTATCTCCCCACAAACAGTTCGGCCACGTAAGACATGTTTGAGGTTCATTTTGACGAGGATTGTAGGTAGTGGGGAAGGCGCTTCTGGTGCCGGCACATCAGCCTTCAGTCACGGTGCGGGGGTACGCAGAGTTGTGCGGTGAGCGGGGCCACCCACTTAGGCGATCACAAACATGGATCAAGTAGGCGTGGATTAGCGACGGGTCCCGTGTCCATGGGAAATCGCGGATTTCCGCCGCCGAGCGAGGCGGCACCAGCCGCATTCTGGGGAGGGCACCTCCCCCGATCCATGGACTTGGCGACCGCGCGCCAAATCCATGGATCGCTAATCCATGTTTGCGCGCCCCCGACAGTATTTCTGCAGCGCGGGCCGTCGCCTTCCAGTCTTCTCGAGGGCTGCGGCCAGGGCGCGGCGGGACGGCGCTGCCACAGGCTCGACGCCTTCTGCGGCGAGATGCCGCCGCGCGCGCGGACTGTGACCACCAAAAATCTGTCATTGCATTCCTCTTCGCCCTCCTCCCTCGTGGTCCTCCCCCTCCTCGCCCTGCCCCCATCCGCTCTTCCACCCCTCCCCTCGTCCTCCGCCTCCGCGTGCACCTCCCCCCTCTTTGGTCTTGTCCTCCTGCTCCTTCTCCTCGTGGTTCTCCTCCTCCCCCACCTTGTCCACCTGCTACCCCCGCTCCTCTATCTACTACTACACCTTTTCTTCCTCCTGCTCGATCTCTTCCTCCTAACCACGCACTGGTTGCATTGCGGACGATACTTGGAGGTCATAGCCGGGTTGAGCATGGTCATGGTTTCCGTGCCGCAACGAGTTGCCTTTCCAGCGCATTGGTTGCGACAACTTCCGATGTGCGCGTGCAGATCGATGCAAGTAGCTTGCGTAGCACATCAACCGCGCCAAGGCAATGACCTCTGTCATTTTCCTTGTGCTGGGCGACATGAGCGCGGCGCTGATAGGGAGGTTGGGAGGGGCGTTCATAATGGTAAAGTACGACACTGCTGTGAGTGCAGAAAGTGCGTTCTTCTTGCCAGAGATCCACAGTATCCACATCACCGAATAGAAGCTCCGAGTCACTCAATTGAGGGCCTCCAAACTTCACCGATTGGTTCACGAGCGACGGGTGCTCTTTGCCGTGAGTGTATACATATGTGTGTATATGTATGCATTGCCATGATCGTTATGTAAAGGAGAAGCTTGCTCCATTGATCGCGATTGCTTTCGGGGGTACGTCTTCACAGAATATGTGCGCCGACCCAGTATTGTGCGCAAGACTGGTGTGGCCACCTCATTGGCTTGGCCAGACAAGTGCATACACCATGATTGGCCAGGCACGGGATGTGGCCCGCTAGCGTTGCTGGATAAGGGGTGTGCATCATCCTCTGTTGATACGCACCGCTTCGCGGGGGACACGGCCAGACAAGCGTTACGTCCGTTCTTGGGCCGTCTTGGGTTTTGGGGGGGATTGATTGGGCCATGATGTGCCTGTTGAGCCGTTTGGGAGCCCTCGCTAGCCGTGTCGTGGGCCCCTCTGGGTCGTTTTGGGGCCTCCTGTCTTGATCCTCCGTCGCAGTCTGGCCGTGGATTCGTGTGGCATGTTACCCCACATCTGCCGACCCTTGTAGTTCGATCGTTCGGACAATGTGCCATGCATGTGAGCTGTGGCGTTGCATGACTAGGTGCTTCCTGCTGCAGGGCTGCAGGCTGCAGGGTCGATGCTTACACATCGCGGACGGGCACTGGCAGTCCTTGCTGGGAGTGCTTGGGGCCCCGCGGGAGCGCCTGGGAAGCGTTTGGGAGGTCGCTGGGCTGCGTGGCGGGCGGTCAGGGCCCTGCTGGAAGGTCGTCGGGCCATCTCGTGGGCCGTCTCGGTCCTCCGCGGGGCCCCAGGCCGAACGGCACGGCGAGCTCACAGCAATGAACACAGCGAGGCGTCTCTGCGGTGCTGATGCCTTGGGCCTCAGGGGACGCCCCCTTCGTCGGGGCGCTCGTGGAGCCCCGCGCGCTGCGCTGCGTGAGGCCTCTCAGGGCCTCTGGGCGGCGGCCCCGGGTTGCCGCGGGCACTGCTGCAGCTCTCCTGGCCTGCGCTGGAGGCCGAGCGGGGGAGTGGCTGGGGGTGCAAAGAGAGACTGACGGTCGCCTCGCTCCCTCCTCTCCTCCTCCTCCTCCTCCTCCTCCTCCTCCTCCTCCTCCTCCTCCTCCTCCTCCTCCTCCTTCTCCTCCCCTCCTCCTCCTCCTCCTCCTCCTCCTCCTCCTCCTCCTCCTCCTCCTCCTCCTCCTCCTCCTCCTCCTCCTCCTCCTCTTCCTCCTCCTCCTCCTCCCTCTCCGCCTCCTCCTCCGCCTCCTCGTCCCGCACGCCCGGGTGGGCCCAAACCGGGCCGGCCGCTGGCGTGCCGCTCCCCGAGAGGGGGGCGTAGAGATTTCGAAGCCGCGGAGGAGGCAGGCGAGCATCGCGGGGGGAGGCTGCGAGGCCAAGAGTGGCCGGGGAGGGATTGGGGCTTGGAGGGATGCGTGCCTGTTGAGTGAGTGAGACGAGGGAGAGAGAGAGAGAGAGAGCGAGAGGAAGGGAGAGAGAGAGAGAGAAGAAAAAAAAGAGAGAGAGAGGAAGAGAGAGGGAGAGAGAGGAACAGAGGATATGTATATATATAGAGAGAGAGAGAGACAGAGAGCGAGAAAGAGAGACAGAGAGAGTGAGAAAGAGAGAATGAGCGAAATGGATAGAGGGAGGGAGGGAGGGAGGGAGGGAGGGCGAGAGAGACAGAGAGAGGGCAAGAGAGAGGGAGACCGAGACAGTTTCTCATCTACGAGTGGGATGATTCGCGCAGCTGTATCCAGCAGACCTAGCTACACCCTGGGACCGCAGCACCGTCAGTCTATCTTGGCCAGAAGCGAGTCTGCAAGTTGAGCACGGTAGCGCGCGCTTGCCGAAACAAGATTCCAATGGGGAGGTCTTTCGGAAAGAGCATATTCAAAGTGGGCATAGGCGCTTGGGAAGCCAATCAGCCCCTCTCGCTGCGTTGCCCCAAATCGGTATCGTTGGCTACCTGGTGGCAGCAGCGCAAAGCGATTCACACCCCTTCTTTTATTACCACCTCGTGTTCTCTCTATGTGTGTCTCTCTCTCTCTCTCTCTCTCTCTCTCTCTTTCTCATTCCATCTTTCTCACCTGGTGTTGCCCTATCATGCGATGAGGTGTCGATGGCGGGCTCGCGAGATCGTGCAGAGTTTCGGCCTTTAGGCGTCTGTGCCTGACCTTGCCTGTCTCATATGCTATTGAGGGCGTCGTCGTCGCCGACCGCGCGTTTGAAGGCATACACCTTTTGCCACCAGCTCTCAAGCAGTGCCATCTTGGGACCACCGTGGGGATGCGCTAAGCCATTAAGTTGGAGCCTCTTGCAATCATCATGGGGCCTCTGAGTGGGCACGGGGCCACTTGGGGTCCTCCTGGGGCCCTCTTCGCGGTTCTTGGGAGCAGATCTGGAGTGTTGGGTTTTTGATGGGCCACAGTGGTGGCGATCTTCCCCCCTCCCTCGGGGGAAAACAAACCTACCTCGCTTTTGACCACCTTCGCTTCCAAGAGACTCCAAACGATGCCAAACTGCGGCCTGTGCTGGTCAGGCCGATCGGCGAGGAGGCGCGTGGCATGGCTTGGTGTTGCCTGGAAGCGAAAGCGGGGCAGGTAATTCGCGCTCTGAGATTCCCCCCTCCCCCGGAGGAGGAGGAGGCGGAGGAGGAGGAGGAGGAGGAGGAGGAGGAGGAGGAGGAGGAGGAGGAGGAGGAGGAGGAGGAGGAGGAGGAGGAGGAGGAGGAGGAGGAGGAGGAGGAGGAGGAGGAGGAGGAGGAGGAGGAGGAGGAGGAGGCGGAGGAGGAGGAGGAGGAGGAGGAGTCGGCAGCTGCTCTTGCGCCGAGGACTCGGCGGAGCCAGGCGGGTGTCCGATGGTGTGCGCCCCGTGCGCTGCCCGCGTCTCTCTCTCTTTTTCTCTCTCTCTCTCTCTCTCTCTCTCTCTCTCTCTCTCCCTGCGCCCCGCCCGTCTGCCCACCGCTCCCGCCGCTCGGGGGCGAGGCGGGGAGCGAGAGAGAGGGAGCTCGCTGGCCTCTGTCCCTCTGCAGGAGGAATGCTCGAAAAGAGTCACAAAAAAAACGCTCTGGGGACGTGTTTGCTATAACCATCTCTCTCTCTCTCTCTCTCTCTGCGCCCTGCGCGTCTGCCCACCGCTCCCGCCGCTCGGGGGCGAGGCAGGGAGAGAGAGAGAGAGAGGGAGCTCGCTGGCCTGAAGTCGGGCCCGTCCCTCCACAGGAGGAATCTTCAAACATAGTCAAAAAAAATGCTCAGGGGAGGTTTTCTTATAACCATGTTTGACAATTCTTGATGTTCTTTGATCTTTCAAATCTTTCGCCCTAAATCCCCCTGTAGGGGGACAGGCCCGATCGAATGGTAGCCACAGCGTGGCCGCGAGCTCACGGGACGAGCGAGTCGAGCAGGCCGCCACGGGGGCAGGTTTTTCGCGCCCAAGAATGCCCGCTTCCTCCCCCCCTCATCGGGCGTGTCCCTCTACAGGAGGAGTATTCAAAAATAGTATAAAAAATAGTCAGGGGACTCTTGTCTTTTTATTCTTCAGTATCTTAAAACATGCTGTTTGCATTTTTCGTCCACAATCCCCCTGTAGGGGGGACACGCCCGACCTAAGGCCAGGGAAGAGGCCCCGGAAGAAGGGAGAGGCGCCTGCTCCCAAGGCGCGCCCAGTCTTTCCGCCCCCCTCTCCTCCTTCCTCCCTTGCCCCACCCCTCCCCCTCGCATCCACTCCCTCCTTCGCGCCACCCCTCCCCCTCGCATCCACTCCCTCCTTCGCGCCACCCCTCACCCTCGCATCCACCCCTCCCCCTTGCATCCCCCTTCGCGTGCTCTTCGCCCCCACGCCGCCCTGCGGCGCAGGGCCCGAGGGGAAGAAGTCGGTCGAGGGCAGCGCGGCCATGTTTCTCGTGTGCTTCGTCTTCGGCTGCACCATCTTCAGCCAGGCCTGCGCACTCCCGCTAGATGGGGTGCCTTGGCATCGCCCGGACGTGTGCATGTGTTCTCGGCGAGGTCCATCGCGGAGCATCTTGGATCACCGCGCGAAGACATCAGCGCGCGACGGGGGCGACGACCACAGCCACGATCCCAAGGCCGACGGCGGCAAAGAGCTTGGCATCGCTCGGACGTGTTCACTTTTTCTCGGCGAGGGCCATCGAGGAGCATCCTGGATCATCAAAACAAGTATAGCCAGAGTGCAGTATCCCCAAACAGGGTTTTTAAACCCACTGCGGTTTCCAAGGTCGATTGCGAGCCCGTCCAGTGCGGGTTGGCATGGCATGTTAGAATATGATAGCATGATGTTTGCACATGAGATGTTTATACGAAAACTTGTGTGACGCATGCCTATCAGGAAGCTAACGCTGGAGGGTGTCGTACTCTCTCGCGCCTGGTCTCGGGCGAAACGTGCTGCGAGGAAGTCTCGGGCGAAACGGGCCAGACCACCTCAAGCGCGGCGTCTCAGAGCTCCGAGTTGCGGGGGCCTCCTGGGGCCTCCTGGGGACCTCCTGGGGCTTCCTCCTGGGCCTCTTGTGGCCTCCTGGACCCCACCTGGGGCTTCCTGAAGCCTCTTGGGGCTCCCAGGGGGGGATATCTGACATGTGGCCGTCTGGGCCCCCTGTAATGGGAGGGGGTCACAAGAGCAGGAAAAATCAACGAATCGGCACCGGATGTGTATTCACTTGACACGTTCTGATAGGGGGGGGCCTTCTGGGGCTTCCTGGGAGCCTCCTGGGAATCTCCTGGGGGCCCCTGGGGCCTGTCCTGGGCGTCCTGCAGCCTCCTGAAGCTCTCTGGGGCCTCCTGGGGTTTCGAGGGTCCCAGGGGGGACATGTAACATGTGGTCTTCTGGCCCCCCAGGCTGGACCACCTCGCGGCATCTGGGAGCTCAGAGTTGCGAGAATGTCTTGTGCGAAACGGGCCGGACCACCTTGCGCACGGCATCTCAGAGTTCAGAATTGCGAAGATGTCTCAGGCGAGACGGGCCGGACCACGTCGCGCAGACATCTCAGAGGTCAGAGTTGCGAGGATGTCTCAGGCGAAACGGGCTGGACCACGTCGCGCGCGGCATCTCCGAGGTCAGAGTTGCGAGGATGTCTCTGGCGAAATGGGCTGGACCACCTCTTGCGCGGCAGCTCAGAGCTCAGAGTTTCGAGGATGTCTCAGACGAAACCGGCTGGACCACGTCGCGCGCGGCAGCTGGGAGCCCAGAGTTTCGAGGACGTCTCAGACGAAACGGGCCGGACCACCTCTCGCGCGGCATCTCGGAATGCAAAAATGCGAGGATGTCTCAAGTGAAACGGGCCAGACCACCTCTTGGGCGGAATCTCGGGGCTCTGAGTATGGAGGATGGGTCAAGCGAAACGGGCTTGACCACCTTTCGCACGGCATCAGAGAGCGCAGAGTTGCGAGGATGTCTCAAGCAAAACGGGCCAGACCACCTCGCGCACGGCATCTCAGAGCTCAGAGTTTGGAGGATGTCTCAGGCGAAACGGGCCGGACCACCTCTAGCGCGGCATCTGGGAGCCCAGAGTTTTGAGGATGTCTCGAGCGAAATGGGCTGGACCACCTCTTGCGCGGCATCTCAGAACTCAGAGTTGCGAGGATGTCTCAGGCGAAACGCGCCGGACCACCTCGCGGCGCACGGCATCTCAGAGCTCAGAGTTTGGAGGATGTCTCAGGCGAAACTGGCCAGACCACCTCTCGCGCGGCATCTGGGAGCTCAGAGTTTGGAGGATGTCTCAGGCGAAACGGGCCGGACCACCTCTCGCGCGGCAGCTGGGAGCTCAGAGTTTCGAGGATGTCTCAGGCGAAACGGGCCGGACCACCTCTTGCGCGGCATTTGGCAACCCAGCGTTTGGAGGATGTCTCACGCGAAACGCCCAATCCCGGACAACTCAGAAACGGGAGTTGCGAGGATGTCTCAGGCGAAACGGCCCGGACCACCACATTGGTTTGAGGACGCCTCTGCTCTGACTTCCCTCGGCCGGAGTTGGCTTCTATCACAGCAGCACCCCGTTCGGCAAGCTGTTTCTATCGGTATCGTTCAACCGATCCCCATCCCCATCCCCATCCCCTTCGAGACCACCACCAAATTACCACCCCACTTGGGGATACACCCCTCGAAACCCGAAGACAACGGCCTATATCCCCATCTAGGGGGGTAAATCGGCCAGCGGGGCCCAGGCCACGCCGCTGGGGATGGGGATCGGCTGGACGATACTCATTCTAGGGAAAAGAGCGCCCACCAGCAGCAAAAACGACGCCGAAGAATGCACGGGGAACGGCCGTCCGAGCGATGGCGAGGGGGGGAGATGAGAGGGAGAATCGGGGGTGGACAGAACCCCCAACAGTGACACGTCGATTAGTGAATTGTCCGTTTTCGGTTCTTGAGATGGCGCCGTGGCCGCTATTTTCCAGGCTTGCGCCCGCCAGGTTTGGGCCTCAGGTCGTTTTCACTAAACCACGTTTTACTAAAGGGGGGTCTGTCCATCCCCGAGAGAAGGCCCTCTAGGAAGGCGGCGCCGGACTTCCCAGAAGCCCCCGCGCCTTCGGCGAAGGCCCCTGCGTCTTCGGGGAAGGCTCGGAAGGCCCTGAGGGCTCCCGAGCCCTCTGGGAAGGCCTTCTCCTTCCCTGACCTTCCAGGAGGGCAAAAAAAGAGCACCCGACCTGAAGACCTATCCTGGAGCTATTCTACGTCTTGGTGTTAGGCTGTTTCGCCAAGTTCTTCAGGTTTTTGGGCCCCCAGTGCTAAATAATAGCTCTCTGGAAGGTCAGGTTCTCGCGCTCCCCCCTCGCCCGCCGCCGAGAGGAGGGGAGGGATCACGGGCAGGGGAGCGGCAGAGGGCGCGACGTCGTGGAGGGTGCCACGGCTGCGGGGGCCGGGCGCGGGGACGTTTTTGTTCTCCTCCTCCGCCCCGGGCAGGGAGGCGGCCGGCGCCCCCGGGGGGGGGGGCCCTCGCCCGCGAGAACCGGTCCGGGGTCACGTTCTGAGAAGGCCCCCCTCCTCCTCCTCCTCCTCGTCCTCCTCGTCCTCCTTGTCCTCCTCCTCCCCCTCCTCCTCCTCCTCCTCCTCCTCCTCCTCCTCCTCCTCCTCCTCCTCCTCCTCCTCCTCCTCCTCCTCCCCTCCTCCCCCTCCCCCTCCTCCCCCTCCTCCCCCTCCTCCTGCGCATCCACGCTAGATTCGGGGGCCCCCAAGCGAGGCGGTGGCCACACCGTGCGGTGAGTCGGTGGGGATGCGGGGTCACCGCAGGGTTTTGGGACTCGGGTCCCGCTCCGAGGATGTCTCGGGCGACAGGAGCCTGCAGGGTCCCAAGACCGTGCGGTGACGGACCGTGCGGTGAGGTCTTGGGGGATTTCGAGGTCACCGCACGGTCAGTCACCGCACCGCTTCGGGACTCCCAATACATCGACGCCCATCCACGCTAAAACCGACGCCAAATCGGCGCTACCTCATCGACTCCAGACGCAAATCGAGGCGAGTCGACGCTAAACACGGAATTCAGAGGATATACATACCAGGGGGGGTGCGGGCTCCAGGTTTTCGGCGCCGTCGTTGGTTCTCTGACGTGGTTCGGACTTCTGGAGAGACATGTCGTGAACGGATCGTGGTGTTGGCGACAGTTTACCAGCCTCGAACGTATCCCTATCCCTAAGATTGACACGCCAAAAAGCGATGACAATCTTAGGGATGCGCCCTCAAAAAAAAGGGAATCCCTAAGATTGGCATCGTGATGAGGAGATGCCCAGCATAGGGATCGGGATATGTTCCAGGCTGGTAAACAGTCGTCCTCTTTCGGGTTCGATGCTTGAGGTTTTCCGACGTTTGCATCTTTGTTCTCGGCGGCTCTCCAGCCTGGGGGTGGCTTCCAGCAGACGCGCCCCGCCGAAAGCGCTCCGGGGGTGCCCAGATAGTCCCGAACGGCCGCCAGGGAGCCGAGCTGCGCCCCGAAAACAAACAGGCCCAAGGCTCAGGTCAAGGCGGGCATGTCCCTCTACAGGAGGAATCTTCCAAAACAGTCCAAAAATAGTGCGGGAATCGCCACTCTAGTCCAAAAATAGTGCAAAAATAGCCCAAAAATAGTCCAAAAATAGTGCGGGAATCTTCCAAAAATAGTCCAAAATAGTCCAAAAATAGCCCAATATAGTCCAAAAATGTGAACGCCACTGAATCGGAGCCGTGGGTTGATTGGATCAAGAGGGCCACGCGTGCAGCTGAAGCAGCAATGTCACGACTGCGGATCAACGACTGGGTCTACACAGTGCATCTTTCCGACTCCGGCTCCGTTACCGTCTCTCCGATTCCTTCCGACTCCCGCTCTTACCGCTCCGACTCCGGCTGTTCCTGAGCGGTTAGCCCTCATCGGCGCCCCGGCGCCCACCCGCCGCACCCCTCCGTAGGTCCCTCGGCGCGGGCTCTGTCCGTCTGTCTGTCGGTTTGGCTCTGCTGGAACACTCTTGGCCAGTTCTAGTTGTAGGGTGCCGCGTGCGAACCCCACCCCCCTACCCCCCACGATTTCTCTGAGGGGGAGGGTGGGGTTCGCTTCGTTCGGGAGCTCCCGAGCGAAGTGAACCCCACCCTCCCCCTCTCAGAAAAATCGTGGGGGGTAGGGGGGTGGGGTTCGCATGCGGCCCTTCTAGTTCTCCTCCAGGGTCTGCCTGTAGTCAGGAGGGGAAAAAACACAGACACAATGAATCGTCGACTCCCCCGAAAATATGGGAAAATATGGGAAGTGGTGCGGAAGACAAAAACCCAGAAGATATAGGAAAATATGGGGGATTTCTGTTATTTTTGTATACTTATCTGTGTGTGTCCTGGGGCCCCTTCCTGTAGGAGGGCGTGCCCGACCTCAGGCTCAGGGGGGGAGGAGCGCGTCGACCCCCCCCCCCAAACCGCCACCCCCCCCGCGCCTCGCTGCCCCCCTCCCCTCCCCTCCCCCTCCTCCTCCTGCCCCTCCTCCTCCTCCTCCTCCTCCTCCTCCTCCTCCTCCTCCTCCTCCTCCTCCTCCCCTCCTCCTCCTCCTCCTCCTCCCTCCTCCTCCCTCCTCCTCCTCCTCCTCCTCCTCCTCCTCCTCCTCCTCTCCTCCTCCTCCTCCTCCTCCTCCTCCTCCTCCTCCCCCTCCCCCCTCTCCTTGGCAGGCACCGCTCTCGGAGGTGTGCATTGCTTTCCTCGGCGAGAGCCATCGAGGACCCTCCTGGGCCATCGAGCCACCCAAAAAAAAACGCACGAGGCCGAAAAACATTGTTTGATCCGCGGGTCGAGAGCGAGCCTCCTCCGGTCGAAGCTGAGCGGGCCGCGCACGGCTTGAATTCACAGAGGGGGGAGGGCAGAAGCAGGGGCCTCACGTCGAGGCCAAGGGGCAACGCCCCGGAATCGGGCGGTGCCGAAGACGATGTGCTTGCAAAGGAACGCCACCGAGCCCAACAAGAAGCGCACGAGACCGAAGCATGCCCTGGGAGACGGGCGCCCGAGCGACGGCAGGCCTCCTCTGCCAGGCCTCTCTCCCCTCCCCTGCTCTGCCCGTGCCCGCGGCTGGGGCACGGTGGGGGCGGCGGGGGGGTGGCGGTCGAGGCGGGCGCAGCGGTGACAGGCGGGCACGCCCCCCTGCAGGAGAGGTGTGCAAAGATGAGCCACGAGTCACGAAGTCAAAGCAGACGCCCCATCCCAACAGCGCGAGGGCCAAGGCAAGATGCAGGCTCCTCGAGACTCCGGGGAGGGAGAGTTTGGGGTAGGTTTTTTTAACCAGGGCGACGACGACGAACGCAAAACATACCCCGAAATCGTTGGCCGATCTTCGAATCCTCGGTGAATCCGCGATTTTGGGATTGGGGATGTCTGCGCGCCCCCGACAGATGGCGCCCAGACTGGAGCTACCCCCGGGCCGCAGTTGCCCCGGAGAAGGAATTCGAGCGCCCAACCACTCCCGAATCGTCGGGGCTGGGGGCGATCAGGGGTAGGGGCAAAAACCGGAGTCACCCCGTTGTCCCGGAGACCGCGGGCGTGCAAGTCTGGCGGCTCCCCCGGGCGGCCGAGGGGGACCTGGCCGTGCAGAGGGCAGCTGCCCAGCCGCCTCGACGCGCGCGCGGCCCCGCCAGCGAGCGCGGGGCCGCGACCAGTGTTTGCTGTGCTGTTGGTCGAGGGGGGCGTGCCTGGACTCCAGGCCTCCTATGATGGGGTCCGAGCAGATGGGGGCGGAGGACCGCGCCGCATCGCCGATGCCTCGGCGATGCTGCTCGGTGTGGAGCCCGACGTTCTCCACGACAGCTTCGCCGATGCACCGCCGACGGCGCCGATGCGCCTCGATACTCGGACTGCATCTACTCGGACCCCATGTGAGATGCCTCTGTGGATCTGCTCTGCCCAGAGCACGCCGAATTCCCCGCACTCTGTGGCATCGTTCGGACGTGGTGCGTGCTTTCTTTCTCGGCAAGGGTTATCGGGGAGCCTTTTTGGTTCACCCTGCGAAAACACGCACGCACGAAACCGACAAATGCATTGGGATGGCGAGATTTCGTTGGCATGAAGCCAGAACCAAAAGCGCTAGGAGCGGCAGCAGCAGCAGCAGCAACACGAGCGAGAGCGCCACTCTGATCGGGCCAGGACTTAGCATCGCTCGGACGGGTGCATGTTTTACCGGCATGGTGACCATCGAAGAGCACCCTGGATCATCGAGCAGAAAAAAGGGCACCATACCGACAAATGCATGGGAAATGGACGTCCGAGCGAAGCCAAGAGGAGCACCTAGGCCTCCCAAGTGGAGTCGGAGGATCGCGCCGCATCGCCGATGCATCGGCGATGCGGCTCGACGGGGAGCCCGATGTTCTCCGTGCCGACGTCGCCGATGCATCGGCGATGCGACGTAATCCACCGACCCCATCTACTCGGACCCCATCTGGGAGGCCTCTAGAGCAGGAGGAGAGGAGGAAGCGGTAGGGATGGCGCACATTCCGCGCCCCTCGGGGCTCTTTGCTTCTCTACCGCCGCACGCCTTTCTCCCCTCTATTGCGCCAGCCAGGCGTAATGTGCTGGTTGCGCTTGGCCTGAGTCGGCCCAACGCTTTGCAATCTCACTTCAGAACGCTGCGTGCTCTGGCCTGAAGTCCGAGCAACGTTCGAGGGAGGAAAAACCACCTGGACCTGACAATTGGCGTTTACTAAACGGCCCTGGGCGTTTACTAAACAGCCCTGCCCCGTTCGGTTCCTTCTGTGGGTGCGTCAGCCAAACGGCTTCGCGTGTCGGGGTGGTTGCTCTCGGGGTGGAGTTTCGGCCCTCTGAGCGTCAAACAAACGGAAGCGGTGGGGAGTTGCCATGCGGGGCCCAGGCGGGGCAGCCACGGCACCCTGGCGAGGGGGGGGATGGCTTCCGCGCGAGGCGGCTCTCGCGCCACTGCCCGCGCCACGGGCGGGCGTCTGGGGCACTTCTCGGGCGGCGCGAGGCGGCGGTCACGCAACGCACATCGGGGGCGAGGCTGCTCGGCCTCGTTTCTCATCGAGCCATACAGTGGGGACCCATGCCAAGACACGCCCTGCTTGGCTCCAGGGTGCCCTGGGTGTCTTGGGCCTCGGTGGTTTTGCCACGGAAGGCGCGACGCTCCCACGCCAGAAATCCATGGAGGTCCTGGGGTCTCAGGGTTGGGCTTCTTGCAGAAGGTCTCCTGGGGTCGGCCCCCTGCTCCGAGTCTCTCGAGAAGCGTCGGGGGGAGCGTCACCCCCGCCGGCAGCCCCACATCGACCCCCGTCGCGGGCAGCCACCGCGGGCCGAAGGCGCTCCGACCCCCCGTCGCGGCGCGACGACGAGGCGAGGTTGAACCCCCGTCGGGGGGGGGTACCCCCCCACGCTCATTAAGAAACCCAGGGTACTGCATCCCCATCTCCATCCTGAGCCCCACCATCCCAGCACCCCAGTTGGGGCTACACCCCTTCGAGCCCGAAGGGAGCAGCCCATGTCCCCATCTCAGGGGGGGTAGTTGGGCCAGCGGAGCCCAGGCCACACCGCTGGGGACAGGGATAAGTCGGGCACGCCCATCTACAGGAGGAATCTGCAATAAATAGTCTCAAAATAGTCTGGGGACGATGTTCCCAGCATGTTTCGGCTAATTTTGAGCGTTTTGGTGGTATTTTTGAGCTTTCGTCCAACATCCGCCTTTGGGGGACATGCCCGACCTCAGGATAGGGATCGGTGAGCCGATGCTCCGTCTCACGGCCCGCAGAGTTTGACAGAGTTGCCGTCGGCGAGGCTTGACACGGTCTCGAGGTGTGGCGCCGCGTGGCACGCGGCAGAGAGCGACACGTGATCCGTTCGCAGGGTATAGCGTGTCGCCAGGACCGCCGCCGCGGCCTTTTCACCCTTCGCTGGGAATGGAAGCGAAAATGGTTCACACGCTGTTTGCGCGGCATGGTTGTGTTTGTTTGATCGATTTGTCGAATCCTCGGCACCCGCGGAACTCATAAGAGCAGACATGCATCCCCGCATAGGTCGGTAAGTCGGCCACTGAGGCCAAGGCTGCACCGCCAGTGGGACGGGCGGCGAGCCAGGGGGGGAAATGAGAAGGAGAAGGCCTTCTCAGAAGGCGGCGGGACTTCCCAGCAGCCCTCGTGTCTTCTGAGAGGTGTTCTCTTTCTTCGGGGAAGGCGCAGCAGACTTCTCAGAAGGCCAGGGGCCTTCCGAGCCTTCCGAGAGGGGCCCCCCAGATTTTTCCCCCCCCGGGCTGGGCGCCGCGATGGGCATCGGCCCCACGGCGCTCGCCTGCCGGAGCCTGGCGGCCAGGTGCACCTCCGGGAGTACGCGGTGTTCACCGCCGCCCTCGTGGCGAGCTCCCGCGGCCCCTCCCGCCTCGTCCGGGGCCCGCTCCGCTCCGGCCTCGGGGCGACGCGATGTCGGCGCCGGCCGCCCCACTCGGCTCGACTATCGGCGTTCGGGCGAGCCTCGCTCGGACGGGGCTGGGACGAGGATGAGTCCGTTCCAGAGCGTTCTGGAACGCGCTCAAAAAAAAAAAAAAAAAAAAAAAACTGGAACGCGCTCAGAGCGTTGCGGAACGCTCTGAGAAGGCCGCGGCGCCCAAGACATCCTCCAGAGCCGCCAGATCTCAGAGATTCTCGGTTTGTCCTCACTCGGTTGTATCATCGTCCCAGCTGCGTCTTAGATCCGAAACGGCCCGATGCTTGCGCGGCGCCGTTGTGCAGGCTGGCGCCGCCGATGCGATTCGCTTCCGAGGCCAAGCCGATGCGGTCCGACGCGTTACACGCTCCGATCCGATCCAGCTTCCCGATTCGATACCGTTTGTTTCTGCTTCCTCTGCGCTTCAGGACGGCGACAGTCGGGCAGGCCATTGTCCTCGCAACCCTGACAGGGCGGGACCTAAACGGTGTTTTGGCGATTTCGTGGGCCGTTTTCGTTTCGGCTTCGTTTTGCGGCAGAGGTGGACTGAAGAAAGAACGAGGGAGGACGAACACAAAACGAAAACGAAGGACACCGTTTAGGTTCAGCCCTGAAACCTGACATGTTCGCGTCGTGGATCGCGAGCACGACGGAAGGCTTTTGCACAAAATTTCGGGTGGGGGGCCTGGGACCGTCGAGGACGGCCTGGGACGAGGAGCCGGTCGCCGGGAGGGGGTTCGGACTTCTGGGGAGACACGCTGTGAGCGAATCGCGATGTTGGCGACGGTCGTCTTGTTTCGGGTTCGAGGTTTGAGGTTTTCTCGGAAATGGGAACATATACATTACCAGTGGCGGGTTGTTTGTTCAATCCCGAGACTTTTTGAGGGCGGGGGACGACGTCGGAGTGGTGTGGTGTATACGTTTCCCCCGTTTGCCAAGGGAGACAACGAAACATGTACACACCTGGATCCCGTATACACCAGGATTGTGCGAATTTCGGCGCAGGGTCGGAAAAAGCGTCGGTGTATATAGAGTTCGTTCCCCTGTTTTCGGGCGCTTTCGTCGGCTCTCGGCGGTTTTCCAGCCTCGGGGTGCTCTCCAGCAGCTGCGCCGCGCCGAGAGCGTTCCAAAGGGGTGCCCGGATGTGCCCGCGGGGCCGCCAGAGAGCCGCGTCAGGGCTGGAAAGCAGAGGGGCACCGTGCAGGGGGGGGGATGCGTTCGGTGGGGGGGGGGGGGGGACGCATGGGCCCCCGAGATCGCCCAGAGTTGTCCCCGATGGGGTGCCGATTTGCTATCGTGGGCCTGTCGCCGATTCATCGGCGACGTATCGCCGACTCCGGCTCGGTGTTCCCCCCCCCTCAGCCAGTCCCCCCCCTCCCGAACGTTGCCCATCAGATCCTCCCAATCGAGACGCTCGAAGAAGGACCACTCCGACTCCAGGAGGGGCCACGTACGGCTTTCGGGCCGTTCCTGAGGTCTGGGCCAGGGAAGCGATCGAAGACGCCAGCAGTGAACCGCCGCCGCCCTCTTCTGTGGCCAAACATTGGGCCGAAGTCTTGCCAAGCTATTGGGCTACGCATTTCCCTAACCGTTGTGGAAACCTTGGGGGGAAGCACTTCGGGGAGGAAGAGAGAGGAGGGGCAGAGGGAGGAAAAGGAGGAGGATGAGGAGGAGGAGGAAGAGTAAGCCGAGGATGAGGAGGAGGAGGAGGAGGAGGATGAGGAGGAGGAGGAGGAGGAGGAGGAGGAGGAGGATGAGGAGGAGGGAGGAAAAGGAGGAGGATGAGGAGGAGGAGGATGAGGAGGAGGATGAGGAGGAGGAGGAGGAAGAGTAAGCCGAAGCCTCTTGGAGGCACCTGGTGGCCTCTTGGTGGCATCTGAGGGCTTCTTGGGGGCCTCCTCGGCGGCGTCTGGGGGCATCTGATTGGCCTCTTAGCCTTGGGAGGCAGTCTTGGGGGGCCCCCTCCTGGCCGTCGTTGGAACCTCCGTGGGCGTTTTCGGGCGTCCTGGAGGCCCGTGAGGTCGTCTCGGGGGGATCGCCTGGGGACGTCGTTGTGGCCTCTTGCGCCACCCGGGTCCTTCTTTGCCAGTCTTCGGCCCCTCGCTTTTTGGGGGACATCTTGGGGCTAACTTGAAGGCCTCTAGGGCGGTCTTCGTTCAGATGTAGGAAGCCTGAGCACGCGACACCATTGAAACACTGGTTGGACATCGATGAAATTGGCCTCCTGGAGGCTCTCTTGGAGCCCTCTTGGGCTGTCTCGGGGGCCTCTAAAGCCGCCTTGGGGCAGTCGTGGGACCAGATTGGGCCGTCTTGGAAGCAGATGGGAACAATATTTCGGCTCCCTGGGGGCATCTCGGCCTTCTTGGAGACTGTAGTGAATCGTTGTGTAGGCCATCTGGGACCATGTTGAAGACACTCTTGAACGTCGGAGAGGCGGATGCAGCACCTTTATCAAAGACGCCTACGGACGTTGTGGCCAGAGCTCTGCCAAGCTATTCGACCATGTGTTCCCCTAGCAGTAGTGGGAACCCTTCGGGGAACACGCGGGTGAGAAAGAAGTAGTAGCGGAGGAGAGGGAGGACATATAGAGAGGAGAAAGAGAAGGATGAGGAGGAGGAGGAGGAGGAGGAGGAGGAGGAGGAGGAGGGCGAGGCTGAGGGGGAGGAGGGAGGAGGAGGAGGAGGAGGAGGAGGAGGAGGAGGAGGAGGAGGAGGAGGAGGAGGAGGAGGAGGAGGAGGAGGAGGAGGAGGGGGAGGAGGAGGACGAGGAGGAGGAGGAGGAGGAGGCGGAGGAGGAGGCGGAGGAGGAGGAGGAGGAGGAGGACCAGGAGAAGGAGGACTCTTGGGGCTTTCTGGGAGGTTCTTGTAGTCCTCTCGCCCCCCTGCCTTCTGGACTCGCCCATGTGGCCGAACGTTGTGGCCAGAGCTCTGCCAAGCTATCAGACCCTGTGTTCCCCCAGCCGTTGTGGAAACCCATCGGGGAACACGCGGGGGAGAAAGAAGAAGCAGAGGAGAGGGAGGACACATAGAGAAGAGGATGAGGAGGAGGAGGAAAAGGAGGAGGAGGAGGAGGAGGAAGAGGAGGCGGAGGAGGCAGGGGAGGAGAAGGAGGAGGAGGAGGAGGAGGAGGAGGAGACTCTTGGGGCTTTCTGGGAGCTTCTTGTGGGCCTCTCGGAGGCCTCTTGGAAGCCTCTTTGCACAGAAGGCTTCTTGGGGGGCATCTTTGGCCGCCTTAGGGCGTTCATGGCCCGTCTGACGCCTTCGGAAGCCGTCTTGGGGGCCTGTCTGGACCGACTTGGGGCCTTCTTGGGGCGCTTCAGGGCCGTCATGGGGTCATCTTGGAGGCCATCATGGGGCGATCTTGGGGCCCTCTTGGGCCGTCGGAAGGCCGAAAAGAAGCAAAGGGCAACATCCTTCGAACACCTAAGTCAAGTCAATGAGCTTGGCCTCTTCGGGCCCTCCTGGAGGAACTCTTGGAGGCTTCTTGAGCCGCCTTGAGGCCATCTTGGGTGCATCTGGGGGCCATCTTGGGCCCTGTTGGCGCTATCTTGGCCGCCTTGGAGGCATCTTCGAGGCCATCTTGGGTCATCTCGGCCGTCTGGGAGGCATCTGGGTATGCATTTTGGGCCACCTTGTGGGCGAGAATTGCTTTCACATGTACACCTGCGGCGATGCTTAAGAAAACTTGAGTTTTCGGCCAGAGTCTCGATTATTCTTAACGTTTCAATGTAAACCCTAAGTTTTTAATAGAAATGTGGGTTTTTTTATTCAAGATCTGAGACTATGAATTTCTCAACCCATGATTTCTTAAGCATCTCGCAGGGTGTACATGTTCCGGGTGGCCGGCGCGCTGGGCCGAAGCCCCAGGGGGAGTTCTCTGGAGAAAATAGCCCAAACCAAAAACCGTATAGGGTCTACTCCAAATCCCTGATTAATCGACCCCCCCCTAAAAAACCAGACCCCACTCCAAATGCGACCTAATATTCCGGACCCCCTCTTCGATGGGGCGCCTTAATAAACCAGACCCCCTCAGCTCCAATCCAAAGAAAGCGACCTAATAAACCGGACCCCCTTAATGACCAAAAAGGCGCCTTAAAAAACCGGACCCGGGGGACGATCAATAAGGGATTTGGAGTAGCACGCCAGGCACTTTTACAGTCGACCCACATAGTAAGGATGGGCAACCTTCCCAAGGGTACCCTTGCATCCTTTCGCCTTCGGCCCATCCTTAGCGACTCTCGTTGGCCGACCTCGTGCGAAAAACGCTAACGTGGCCTCCCGAGGCTCTTGCATCCTTGCCCCGCATCTTTGATACGGGTTGACTGTAGCACGCCAGGCACGGGCGACGGGTCTTCGGCCCATCCCGCAACCGTGCCTGGGTTGTGAATCAGAGTTCTCAGGGATGCTTCTTCGGGTCTCTTCCGAGCGCTCTCGGGGGCGTCTTGGGGGCAGTTTTGGGGGGCCTCTTGGGGGCCTCTTTGGGGCCTCTTGGGGATCCCTTGGGGGCCTCTTGGGGCCTCTTGGGGGCCTCTTGAGAGCCTCTCGGGGCCTCCTGGAGGCCCCTCGGGGCCGAGGGCTCGAAATGTGAGTTCGGGTTCCCCATATGGGCCCCCCCTTGGGGCCTTCTTGGGAGCCTCTTGGGCCGTCTTGGGGCCCTCATGGGCCGCCGTGGGGACGAAGTAGGGGCCTCTGGGGCCGTCTTGGGGCGTTCTTTTGTGCCTCGTTAGTCGTCTCGGAGCGTAGGGAAACCGAAAAGGCGAGAACGTCCAAAATCTTTCAAAGTCACAAGGACAACCACTCATTTGGGCCTGTTGAGGCCCTCTTGGGAGGCATCTTGGAGGCCTCTCGGGGCGTCTTGGAGGCCTCTTGGGCTTTCCTGGGGCCAACCTTGGGCGTCTTGGTGCGGTCGTTGGGCGTCTCGGGCCCCACTTGGACCGTCTTGGGATCCTCTTGAGGCCTCGTGGCCCCCGAAAAGTCGTGCGGCACGATGCGACAGAGCCCAGGGAGCACACGACAAGCCCCAAGAGATTTGGCAATGTGGGGTCCAGGCCCCTCAAAGACTCTTAGGAGTGAAAATCGAGGCTTAGAGGAGTCGGCAAAGGACCTGAGGACACGCCGCCCACTCCGTGCCCAGCGGCACGGTGGTGGATGAGTTGTCCATATGGCTGGAGGGATGCGCCGAAGGTTACTGGAACCTCTTGGAGGGGTGGAACCAGTAAACACATGTAGCCCGCCAGACGCCCCTGAGACGAGTACACGGGGGCGGCGGAGCGAGGACGCTTACGGCGAATCAACGCCGCGTCCTGCCTTTTGGAAGCGCCGATGCGATCGAATGTTGTGGCCAAAGCTTGGACAAGCTATCGGACGATGTGTTGAGCAGTAGTGGAAACCCTTCGAGGAAAGTGACGGAAGGTTGAGGAAGAGTATCAGAAGAGGGGGGATGATGATGATGATGAGGAGGAGGAGGAGGAGGAGGAGGAGGAGGAGGAGGAGGAGGAGGAGGAGGAGGAGAAGAGGAAAGGAGAAAGAGAGAAGGAGGAGGAGGAGAGAGGATAGGAGGACGAGGAGGAGGAGGAAGAGGAGGAGGAGGAGGAGGAGGAGGAGGAGGACCAGGAGGAGGAGGAGGAGGAGGAGGAGGAGAAGGGGGGACAGGAGGAGGAGGAGGAGGATGAGGAAGAGGAGGAGGAGAGCCGTCCGTCCCGGAGGCATCTTGGGCCGTCTTGTGGGCCCTATGGGGGCCGTCTTGGGAGCCTCTTGGATAGTCATAGGGGCCATCCCGGAGGCCTCTCGGGACAACATTTGGGCGCTCTTGGGAGCCTCTTGGGCCGTCTGGGGCCGTCGGAAGGCCGCAGAGGAGCAACTGCTTAAATCTTTTCTTTTCGACCAACGAAGAAACGCCAACTCGAGGATGCTGGCTTCTTCGGGCCTTCCTGGACGATCTCTCGGAGGCCTCTTGGGTACCTCTTGGGCAATCTTGAGGCCATCTTAGGCCGTCGAGGGTGCATCTCGGGCCGTCTTGGAGACACCTTGCGGTCATCTTGGGCTCTCTTGGGGCCGTCTTGGAGGCCATCTCAGCCGTCCAGGAGGCCACCTTGGGGTGGAGGCCAAGGGAGAACTGATTTTCCGCGGTTCTCAGGATGGCCGGCGGGTGAGTGCGAGACCCCATTCTGTGAATTTAAAAAAGGAAGCAAACGTAAATTTGGCATGCCGCGCACCTCTGTGGCAAGCCACAGGAGGCGGCGGATCGAAGACGCCTACGGCGAGTCACCGCCGCCCACTGCCCGTTGGAAGCACCCATGTGGCCGCACGCTGTGGCGAGAGCTGGGCCGCGCTGCGCTATCGGACTCTGTGCTCCCCCAGCCGTTGCGGAAACCCTTCGGGGGACACTTGAGGAGGAAGAGGAAGGATGACGAGAGGCAGGAAAAAAGAGGAGTAGGAGGAGGAGGAGGAGGAGGAGGAGGAGGAGGAGGAGGAGGAGGAGGAGGAGGAGGAGGAGGAGGGAGGAGGAAGGAGGAGGAGGAGGAGGAGGAGGAGGACTCTTGAGGCCTGCCGGGGCCTCATGGGGACCTCTTGGAGACCTCTTGGAGGCCGTCGTGGGCCCCTTGGGGGCGGGCGTCGTGCGATGTCCGTTTGTCTTGCACATTCCTGGCCCGTCGGAAGCCGTCTTGGGGGCCTCTCGAGGCCGAGTGGGGGCCCTCTTCGGGCGCTGCAGGGCCGTGCCTGGTGGCCATCTTGGGCGTCTTGGAGGTCTCCTTGGCCGCCCCAGTGTGCGGCCAGCTTTCACCACGCGGGCTGCGGAAGCAGGGCGGAAGGAGAGGTGGGGGAGCACCTCCTCCTCCTCCTCCTCCTCCTCCCCCCCCTCCTCCCCTCCTCCTCCTCCTCCTCCTCCCTCCTCCTCCTCTCCTCCTCCTCCTCCTCCTCCTCCTCCTCCTCCTCCTCCTCCTCCTCCTCCTCCTCCTCCTCCTCCTCTCCTCCTCCTCCTCCTCCTCCTCCTCCTCCTCGAGAGAGAGAGAGAGAGAGAGAGAGAGAGGGCCCAGGGAAGGTCTGGAGCCAGAGGTGGGGGCCACACCGCCGGGAGGGCGCCCAGTGGCGCCTGGCGCCGGTGGTGATGGTGCCGCGTGCTTGCCTCGTTCTAGGGCGCGGAGAGCGGGGGGGGGCGGAGGAAGGGGGAAGCTCGGGCCCTCGGTGGTGCTTCCCGGGGGTCCTCCAGTATCCGGTGACGCCCTCAGGCAAGGCAGGAGGAACGTGGAGGGGGGGGCAGGGGGGGGGGGTGCGCAACGAGCCCCAATCGCCCACTGATCGCCGGTATGGGGCCGGGTAGCCTGTCCCGCCCAGGAGCGTGCAGTGCCGCCCAGGAGCGTGCAGAGTCGGTATCGAAGTCCTGTCGCCGATCTGTCGGCGATGTAAGTATCCCCGGCTCCAGGTTGATGTTTCCCCCCCTGATCTGGTCCGCCCCGAACGTGGCCCATCTGTAATTAGGACTAGAAGGAGAGGGGATTTTCGGGCTGTCGTTTTGATCAGCTGGGGTCACCCGAAGGCGCCCAAAGGCGGCGGAAAGGAAAGAACAGGTGGGGTGAGACTTGCCGATGGCACTCGGCTGTCAGCCATCGCCCTGCTGCCATTTCTGCTACCTCCTTCCTCTCCCCATTCCCCTCTCTCTGAGCTGTCGAGCGCGGAGTTTGGGAAGGGGAGGGGGATGGAGGAAGAGGGGGAAGAAGAAGGGGGGACGGACGGAGCGTCTCGGGGCGATCCTGGGGGCCCGTGCAGCCGTCCTGGAGATGGTGCAGACGAAAAGAATGGGCACAGGAAAGATATACACCTTAGGCGATGCTTAAGAAAACCTAAGTTTTCGGCCAGAGTCTTGATTATTCTTAACTTGCCAATGTAAATCCCAAGATTTTGATAGAAGTTCTGGGTTTTTATTCCAGTTCTGAGACTCTGAATTTCTTAACCCATGGTTTCTTAAGCATTTCGCAGGGTGTACGCCTTCCGCATGGAGTGGGGCGACGTGTGCCTCGTGGGGCTCTCCCTGGGGGGAACGAGGACGTTCGGAGCTGACCGAAGGGAGGACGTATTGGCAAAGGGGCGTTTTTTCCGGACACGTGTGCGTGCAGCTGGTTTCGGCCCCGCCGCCGGGCGCGCTCCGATGTATTCAAGTCGGGCCTGTCCCCCTACAGGGGGATTTTCTACGAAAAAATACACCAAAAATAACCAAAAGATAATCCAAAAATAATCTGGGGATTATTTTTGGATTATTTGTTTTAATCTTTTTGGTGCATTTTGGGGGTATTTCTAAATGTTCTTCAAAAATCCCCATGCGCGGGGACACGCCCGACATAACGCTATATGCATGGCCGCAGCTGGCGCCGGGGGGCGCCTGGAAGATTTGTTGCGTGAGCTGAGTCGATGACCCCCTCCTTGCGAGCCCCCCCATACAGGGTCCGGCTTGAATAAGGAGCACTTTTTTTTCAACAGGGGCTCGGCCGTTCTTTTGGTTTGCATGCGTTCCGCTACCTTTTTGGCCGCGAGCCCCCCCCCTGGTGTTCCTTCAGGCTCCCTAGACTTTCTTGGAACAAAGAGGAGCTTCGTTCCTTGTTGATCGTTCCTTAGGTCAGGCCGAATACTGTATCGTCCGTCCCGGGATGGGGAGGAGGGCGGTGAGGAGGGTCGCCGCCCATGGGCATTGGTGCCGGTCCCGAAGCAGGAGCTGAAGCCTTGCCTTCGGCCGAAGAGCTTTCTCTGGCCCGCGTGCAGGCGGCCTGCTTCGGATCCCTTGCGGGCACAACCTTGCACGTTGTGTGCGTTGGTGGTGTCTTCGGAGCTGTCTGATAACTGATTGTATTGTAGATCGTCGTCGCAAGTGCCTCCTACCTCGCACAGTCCAGAGATTACCCGCGTTGGATGTTACGACCGAGACATCCCGACACGAACTAACATGTGTGGACATGCGGGAGCAGGGGGCAGAAAGGATATCCATATTTTCTTAGGTAGCCATAGAAGCGCAGTGTTGACTCTGATCCTCCTGTGTCAGTCGGTTCCAGATCACCACAGGCCCCGAAAGTTGCATCTCCTATATGTGTTCGTCCTCGCGCAGGCAACCCTTGCCGAGCTGTACACGCCGTTCGGTCTCAACGATAACATGCCAGATGTTGACGCAGCACCGCCGACCTTCAGCGTGGACGATTTCGAACGGGCATCTAGTGGCATGGGATGGGGTCTTCTAGTGTGGTCTGGATGGTTCGGAGACGTCAGTTTTAGAAGACCGTTGTATTATCGCCCTTTCTCTGAAACGAACGTGATGAAACAAGCTTGATACTGTTGCCAAATCAGCTCCAGGTCGCACATGGGTCTGCTGAGTGTCAACCAGGGCTTATTTGTCACAATCTTGAAACTCTCTGCTTCAGCCTCTAACTGTTGGCGTTGGTATCAGCACTCTCTGGCACGGGAAATTGACATAACGAGGGGAGTGACACCCCCCTCCTGTTCCTCCTCCTACCTCTCCTGCCCCTCCATCTCCTTCTCATCCCCCTTCCTCCCATGTCCATCCTCATCCATTCTCGGTATCCTTCCCTTTTTTCTCGCACTCCTCCACCCTCGCACTCCTCCACCGCATTCTGATCGCCGCCGTCGTCGTATCATGTCTCCCCCCGAGGGGCAAGAAACTACACAGACACAGTGTGTGTGTGTTCCTTGGTGGGCGAGTTGGAATAGGATTGGCACCATCCACAAGCACACCAAGCGGATGGGGTGGAAGGACCGTGGAAATGGCAACACAATGGGACGGGCCAAACTATGTAGTTCATTAGACAGCACAGTCGGCCAGTGACGCATTCGAGGCGCCTGGGGTAGGTGCCACGGGTGGCGTGGAGACACCACAAAGCTCCATGAGTGGCGTGGAACCGCACGGAACGCAGAGTACGACCCCAAGTGGTTCAGTGCGTTTACAGTCGGGGCGCTGAAGAAGGAACCCTTTTCGTTTGGGAGGGGCTCCGTGTGCTCCTGAGTTGTTTTACAGCGCTCCACGGGTTTTCCCCAGGTTTTCCATGGAAATCTGAGTTCAACTCACGGGAAAAAGGGGCCTCGTTCCTTATCTATCGTTCCTTAGGTCAATGCCCCGACTGTAGTGTTGTTGCGCAGAGCTCGCCCGCCTTAAATTCACACGTGGCCTCGCATCTCGTCCCGCTCAGGCTTCGCATGCCGTGCTGCCCCGGGACAGGCTGGGGGGTCCGCGGCTCAGCATTCCCGTCGCCCGGGCGTGCTCCATTGGGAGCCAAGGGGGGCAGAGCATGCGGGAGGAGATCCCATGACGTGTTTGCGGGCGTGGTTCGTCAGTTTCGGAAGCTGCGGGAGCTTCAGAGACGCGTTGCCCTCAAGCGGGAACGTGTCGAACGGCCTTCTGGCGAGTCACCGCCGCCCCTGCCTTTTCTGGAGAGCACCTTTGTCTCGAGGTGTCGAGCGACAGTGCGCCCACACGCTGGTGGACCGCGTGTCCCCCCCGGGTTGTTGGGGACACCGCTGGGGGACCCTGGGGAGGACGTGTGCATTTTTCCCTCGGCGGGGACCATCGAGGAGCATCCTTGATCATTTGGCGAAAAAGCCACGCACGAAACCTAAAAAAAACACAGGGAATGGACGTCCAAGCGATGGCGAGAGGCTGCCTTGGAGTTTTTTGCTCAGAGGAGGAAACGGTACCATACCTCCGCCCTTCGCCCGTTTTCCCCTTTTTGGGCCTCCTGGGAGGCCCTCGTCGCCACCGCTGGATTCGCCTCGAAATCCTGGTCAGAACGCACCCTGGGAGAGGTCCGGGGAGTAGCGGTATCGGTGCCTTTTGGTCTGGTCTCCACGTTTTCTGGTCTTTGGGGCTTTCTGGGCCCACTTGGGCAGTCTTGGGGCTCTCCTGGGTCTTCTCAAGGGCGCTCTTGGGCAGTTCAGCGCGCTCGGAGGTTGCTTGGTGGACCTCTCTGAGACGCCTCGGGGCCATGGAAGGGCCATTTCGGGCTGCCTCAGGCAGCCTGGAGACTCTCTTGAGCCTTCTTGGGGCCCATCTGGGCCGCCATGGCTCAGCCTTAGGGGCCGTCGTTGACGCTCTGAAAATGAAAAAGCGAGAATCCCAAAAACACTGAAAAACACGCGGTGGTAAACCGTTTTGGCTTCGGGGGCCGACCACGAGGACCCCCAGGGCGGCCCAGTGGATCCCAAGAGGGCATCTTGGACCCTCCTGACGCCATCGTGGGACCATCTTGGTCGTCCGGGAAGCGCCGCGGAGGCCGTTGGGGACCGCTTTGGCGGACATCGCAGCCATCTTGAATGCAGAATGCAAGTTGCCCTATCTGTTTTTTATATTCCGAGCGGCGCGCGGGTGCTGCCGACTACCGCCAGGAACTTTTCGGGATGGCCAACCGTAGTTTACATTTCTGCACGCCGAGCACCCCATCTTGCAGGCTACGCGGGCGGCGGATCTGGTGACAGTCGGCCGAACCCGTCACAGTGCTTGTGTCGCGGACCACGGGGAATCTAGAGAGAGATGTTAGAGGCCTCTTGGGGTATATTATTATTATTCCTCCTTCCTCCTCCTCCTCCTCCTCCTCCTCCCTCCTCCTCCTCCTCCTCCTCCTCCTCCTCCTCCTCCTTCATCCTCCCCTCCCCCCTGGGGCAGAGAGGGAGGGAGGAGGAGGAAGAGGACAAGCGTAAACCCAGGATGCACCAACGACGCTGCATACAAAGCACCTCCCGTCCCAAGTCTCCGCATCAGTCCCTACACGTCTTCTCGCTGCAAGAAGCGCCAACTTGAAAGACGAGCACCCGATGGGCCTGACATTCAGGCGGCAGCCTCGTTTTGAAAACAAAAGACTGCTTCGTATCCGTATAGCGAAGAGTACATGTCGCGAAATAGTAACACGTACCCTTGAACGGCGTGTCCAACGAGATCCCCGCGTTGAAAAAGGGCCGCCCCCATGTGTGCAATTGATGATGCAGGAGTTCACGCTCGCGAGGACACAGTTTTGAAAGCGAGCTGCGTTGTATTCAGACCTCTTGTGAGGTTCCAGAAGTCCCACGCGCCAGCCCAGTTTGAAAAAGCGCCGTGCTCCGCCTGCGTAGCCGCTGCGAGTTTTTTTGCTTTCAGGCGAGCGCACGCGGCGCGAAGGCGAGCGCCCGTTTTGACAAGGGAACGCCCTCCGCTCGTGTGTGGCGGCTGCCGGCTGTCAAGACGGATGCGCACGACGCGAAGGCGAAAACGAAACGTTCTGTGAAAGTGCACCGCCCTCCACCCAGTAACCGCTGCAGGCTTCTAGGACGAATGCGCGCGGCGCTGGAGCGAGAGCTCTGCTCTGGAGCGTGTCCCCCCCCAGACCTGGTTTCGGATGCACGCTTTTATTACGACGGTGTGCGGCGCTGCGGCGAGAGCCCCATTTTGAAACCGAGCCCTGTCTATCTTGCAGTTTCAAAAAAGACGATGGTTCGCGGCACTACGGCGAGAGCGCCAGTTTGGAACCCACCCCCCTCCACTCAGCTAGCTGCCGCCACTTTCAACCTCGCGATCAGATATGGGGAGGAAATCTTTGGCGAAACGCATTGCCCGCCCTACCAACACGCTTGGCGGATGCGATAGGGAAGGGTTGTCTACACGGGAAGGGGACGGAGGGAGAAGGCCGAGGGGGTGGAGAAGCGAGGAGGAGGTGGAGGGGGTGGAGGAAGAGGGAGGAAAGGGAGGGGCGGAGGAGGTCATGGAAGAAGGCGGGAGGAGTTGAAGGAGGAGGTCCGCATCCCCCTTGTCTCCCTCCACCGTCTCTTCCTCCTTCTCGTCCTCCTCCTCCTGTTTCTCTTCCTTCTCTTCCTCTTTCTCCTCGTACTCCGCCTTCCCCGCAGGAGGGGGGCGATGCTTTCTGGGACCGTTCAAACAAACCCAGAACCGCCGCGCTTCTTCCCGAACGCGGGTGGCGCCCCCCCCCCCATGGTTCCGTCAGGGGATAAAAGGACGAAATGAACGCGAGTGTAATTTCAGTGATGCCCATAGCCGGCAGTACCAGTAGTCTTTCTATCACGACCAGTCAGATGTGCCATAACGGCAAATAGTAATGACAATCATTTGTTGGGTAATATTCGGAATGCGCTTAATAGGAGCAGTCGTACCAATAACAATACGATTACGACCGTTACGACTACGGCTGCGGCCCACTAGACAAATACGAATTTCACCAATACGATTACGACTCAGACAAGTAGTGTTAGTCGCACTCAAATACGAATGCACGTATCACTGCGACAACTCTAATTCCCGTTACCGTTACCATTGCTAGTACTACGACTGCGACAACTACGACTAGTATTGCACCACTACTACTACTACTACTACTACTACTACCACTACTACTACTACTACTACTACCACCACTACTACTACCACCACTACTATTATTACGATTCGTACTACTACTACTACTACTACTACTACTACTACTACTACTACTACTACTACTACTGCTACGACTACTACTACTACTACTACTCCTACTACTACTACTACTACTACTACCACTACTACTACTACTACTACAGCTACTACTACTACAGCTACTACTACTACTACTACTACTACTACTACTACTACTACTACTACTACTACGAATACTACTACTACTACGACTACGACTACGACTACTACTACGAATACTACTACTACGACTACTACTACTACTACTACTACTACTACTACTACTACTACTACTACGACTACTACGACTACTACTACTACGGCTACTACTACTACTACTACTACTACTACTACTACTACTACTACTACTACTACCACTACTGCTACACTACTACTACGACCACTACTACTACTACTACTACTACTACTACTACTACTACTACTACTACTACTACTACTACTACTACTACTACTACGACTACGAGTGCTACTAGTACGATTGCTGCTGCTACCACTACAGATATCACTACTACTACGGCTACCACCACTACTCCTACTACTACGACTGCTACTACTACTCCTGCTACTTCTACCACTACTTCTACCACTCCTACTTCTACAAGTTCTACCACTTCTGTTTCTACTACTACAACTATTACTACTACTACTACTACTACTACTACTAGCACTACTACTACTTCTACTACTACTACTACAGCTAC